CTCCCCCTCCCTCATCGGCAAACTCAAGAGCGGCCCCGCATGCGTCGACCGTGTCAACCACCGAGCTCGACTTAGAGGACATGCCGAACGTGGCCATCAACTCTCAGGAGATTGAGCAACAATCCCACCGACCACGAGTCGCTCGAACATGAGGCATAAGTGGAGGAGGAGCACGAGGACAACCATGCAATCTTGGCCTTCGACTCAAAAGAGCGAAGTGCACCATAGGTCCCTAAACTATTTCAAGGTACTCACTTAGGTTCTCTACTTTTGGAAGACGACATGTAGCTCCGGAAAGTGCAATAAGTGTGTCATTCAGGTTCAAACCAGCCCTAACCCTGTGTTGACTGCTCATGTGTCACCGTTGGTCAACGCCACGTTGGAAGAGGCGGTTTGGTGGCAAACATCCCGCTGAAACCGGTTAGGATCTATGCAAAAAAGACACAAATGTATATATGGAGTCCGGCGTCGACTTCCTTGTCGACGACAGTGGTGGCCATCAGTGGCGGAGCTACACCAGAATTCCTGTTAGGGTGGGGTGGGGTGGGGGGGGACACAAAATGGGAGCATTTGAGGGGGGCAAAATACTATTTTTTTCCTTTCATCTAGGCCCTCTACTTAATATTTTTTTCAAAGATTTGTCCAAAGTTGCCCCCCCCCCCAAGTAGTACACTAAGCTCCGCCACTGGTGGGCATAATGAGATGCTGATTTTGGCTATAGTGGTAAACATCGATATCACGTTGTCTATGACCACTGTCTTGCGTTGGATCAGGATCAAGAGTAACAACCTCATCGACTCGAACAAGGTAGTGTGTAGGTAGACCAAGGCTTTGGTCTCCTCGGTCTCGATTATTATCATCATGTCGTTGTTGGTGTTCGTTCCTTTGGACGTGGTAGGGGGGATTTCTTCCAGATCCACAATGCTGGGGTTCTGAGTGAGGTTGTATAACATAGCTTCCTACTCTTGATCATATTCGATAAATATGTGAAGCACTTTGTTCCCCAATGCAAGCTTTCTCTCCAAACCGACATTTAACTGTTGTGCCGCTTGCTAGGAGCATATCACTATGGTTTACTAGAACAATGCCACCTCTATGATGGCATCCATGATGATGATGTTGTCCCCCTTGATGTCAGTGAGTACCTCGATGCTGCTGGGAGGCGTCACAACATCACAACCATGAAGTGCTTATGTCTCGCATCAGCTACCACCATTGACCTACCATTTTTGGTGGTACATCAACTTACTGAAGAAGAGGCCGCCAGAAAGGTCCCTAAATTTGTAAAGAGGGCGTTTTTTTATTTTGCATATTTTCAGGACTGGTAGGGGTTTGGACTTGGGTGACATCCTTATACGTTTTCACGACCTGAAAGACAATTTCCAAAATTTGAGGACTTACATGACATCCTTAGAATATTCTAGGGATGCAGAATGCACTCATAGGTGTGGTTGTTGGTGGTCGTTGATTTGCGCGGCATGACAATGAAAAAAATGTACCTCGATGCTGCTAGAACGCCTCCCGACACCACGACCATGGACCTCTCTTGTCGTGCTCGACCGCATTGTCCCAGCATTCACCAGCATTGACATACCACCGTCGGTACATCAACTTGCTGATGAAGATGACGCCATGGATGTCCCTAAGGCTATAGGACATGTTTTTATTTGTGTGTGTGTGTGTGTGTTTTTAGGAAGTTAAGGTTTGAACCTGGATGACCCACTTATTACATTTTGTGGACCTGAATGCTAGTTTTCATAATTTGAGGACCTACGTGACATCCTTGGGATATTATAGGGACCTTTTGGTGCGCTTTAGTCACCCTAGGGAAAAAAAGGTGAGATAAACCCGAAACCGCCGGTGGCGCCGGGCTACCCACTGGGCAGGGATGATTGTTTAGCCCCCGCGACGGGAGGGAGGGAATCGGATTCCAGTCCGCCGTAAACCGGCAGCGATTTTTCTAGTCCTACAAATAGTAGTCTCCTACTAGTGATCCAATCCAGATCATGCCCACGGAGTGCTCCTGCGGCGGGCAGGATCGTAGGGACAGTACCCTTCTGCCAAGGGGCGGTCACGGGAGGCCAAGGGGCAGTGTGAAGTGGCGCCCGGCCGGATCTGGATGGAGCAACCCAGCAAGCAAGAGGCTGCCGCTGTGGCTTGACGGCCAGCCTCTGCCTGCCTGCTGTGTTGCCTTGCCGCACGTGCAGCTGCGCGATCGCCCCGACGCGGCTGCCTGCCCGCCCTTTGGCGCGCGCCGAGGAACCGGCCTCCCCGGGGTGACACCCGCCGCGGTTGCCCTTTGGCTCGCCGCAGGGGGCGCTCGATCGCCGGGCAGGCAGAGACGCGGCCGGTGGGCGCCGTGCGCTCTGCGCCGCTAGTTTCTCCGAGCTCCACTGTGCGCCGTACGTCGGGACGCTGTGGGGAGAGGGATGACCGCCCGCCGGTTGGTTGAGTTTTCTACCAGCCGGATCGATCGCAGTCGCAGTCGCAGTCGTACGGGCGTGCGTATACGCGGCCGAAAACGACTGCTGCGGCCAGCGATGGACGTTGACGGGCGGGGAGCCGGGGAGAGGCCGACCCGGCATATGCTTGGAAATGGTGCTGAATTTTATTTACACGTAGGCTCGCTCCATCGGTTTGGTTTGGTTGGACCTCCTGAGGCGAGCCCTGACTGACTGACAGGTGAAGCGAAGCGTGCGTTATCCTCCGCGTGTGACGCACGGCCCCCCGCCATTAGCAGCCACGCACACCGGCACGGTGCACACACTGCAGCCGCCATGCGTTCATCGTGCCGCATGCCTCCTCGGAGGCAGGAAGGGCCGCGGCCGTGCGCGCGGTGCTCTGCCTGGCCATCTAAAGTAGGGCAGAGGCACGCGAAGAGGCGCCGTCGTGCGATGGCTGGGCATGCCCTTGGTGCGCGCCCATGCACGTACTCCTACTACTAGTACATCCGGCCCGTAGTGAACAGCCGGCCATGCATACTGCGATGCGGTGCCGTGCGACTTGAAAGCGCCAAGAGGCAAGGAGACCCCTCTGCCCAATCAGGACACCTAGCTAGGCTAGCTTCTTGGATCTTTCCCAGATATTTATATGTGTTCCCATTTCCAGCTGCCAATGCCAACCGCGCGCTTTACATAATAGTACTACTCCAACACTGGTGACTGGCTACGCAAGGACGGCCGGAGCCGTTCGTTCGTTCATCCAGCAGCAGCAGCAGCAGCTTCGGATCGGGAACCAATCTATGTCTAGATCATCACCACCTTTTCTATCTTTCTTTCTCGGGTGGACCGTGGACCGATCTCTCCGCTGTCTGATTCCGAATCTGACACCCATTATTAGTATCCAATTAACGTAACGAATTCTGACCCCTGAGCAGCGCCAATGATCGATGGGATCTACCGTAGTATTACTAGCTAGTGTTTCTCGATGTCGATTAGATCCATCGCCGCCACATGTGTGCATGCATGCATACGGGGATCGGCAATGCACGTGGAGGCATCTCATCAAAACGTATGTACTGACGTAAAATGAACTATTATCTGCTTTACTTAATGAAAATCGAGGGGAAGCCCCTTTTACTCCAAAAAAAATTTGTACTAACATAAGTGCATGCACTGTTAATAAATACTACTCCCTCTGTCCGGAATTACTTGTCGTGGAAATGGGTAAAAATGGATGTATCTAGACCTAAAATATGTCTAGATACATTTATTTCTTCGACAAGTATTTCCGGACGGAGGGAGTATATGCAAAGTATACTATATTTGCTTGCCCGAGGCTGCTGCAGCTGCAGCTGCAGGGTCATGCATGCTTCGTACTATTGCTCGGGCTCGGGCTCGAGCTGCGATGCTGTTGGATTTTCCTTCCAAAAGTGAAGGGCTAGCTAATTACTACTACTAGTGCTAATCTGCAGCTTAATTGGCCTCATTGCCTACCTGGGGTCACGGGGTGCTCAAATTCAAATGTCGTCTTCATGCGTGGGGCGGGCTTAACTGGGAGCGCCGATGTAGTATGTACTTCGTGGTGTTATGATTAACTTTTGTTCTAGCGTTACATTTTTATATAAAAGTGTCACTCATCAGGACCATGATCTCAGTAACTTTTGTTTGCGTTCCATTTTATATTCAAGTGTCACTCATTAGGATCATGATCTCAGTAACCCCCATCCATTCTTTTATGTGCCCTTTCTGGATATCCAATGCAGATCCTGTCCATTGCGATTTCTAACTACATGTAAAGCTACATTATTAAAGCCTAACGATGTATATATACTAATAAGCATGCGAGGACAAATCTCAAGTTGAAAAAAATCAAGTCAATCAATGTATGTCCTTATATCGCTCTACCTCCTTTGTATGTCTACTATGTATGACATCTTCAATGCAAGCCCTCAAAACGGACACCGCAGATGTCCGGATGAGAGAGAGACAGAGACAGAGATAGATAGATAGATAGATAGATA